CATTTGAAAAAATGCTCATCCTCACCAGCAAGAGAAATACACACTGGCAATGATATGGAGATACCATTTCTCACCCATCATACTGAAGAAAATGCTCAAGTTTTACAGAGCTTTTCTTTTTCTTTTCTTTTTTTCTGGACAAGGTTATGAGGAAGCAGGTATTCTCATAGATTGCTCAGGGTATCTCTGAGTACTCACCCAGAGTGGTCTGCAGGAATTTATTGTCAGGTGAAAAAGCCTGATATATATATATCTGGTATATATATATATATATCAGATAAAATATATATTATGGTTGCATTTTGAAAAAGATGGAATAAATATGAGTATACAACATCCATAGTTACAAAAGAAAATTGGAAAATAAACCAAAAATTTTAAGTTATCTAAGATGGGAAAGAATAGAATGGGGATAGGAACAGATGTTTCTTGAGACTGTTTAAGTAACTTTGACTTAAAAATAATTTTTTTAAAATAATTTTTTTAAGATTTTATTTATTTATTCATGATGGGGGGGGGCGCAGAGACACAGGCAGAGGGAGAAGCAGGCTCCATTCAGGGAGCCCGACGTAGGACTCGATCCCAGGATCCCGGGATCATGCCCTGGACTGAAGGCAGGAGCTAAATCGCCGAGCCACCCAGGGATCCCCGAAAATAAGTTATTTAAGGGGCACCTGGGTGGCACAGTCAGTTAAGCATCTGACTCTTGGTTTCAGCTCAAGTCCTGCTCTCAGGGTCATGGGATTGAGCCCCATGTCCAACTCTTAAGCTCAGCGTGGAGTCTGCTTGAGATTTTCTCTCCTCCTGCCTCTGCACACTCTAAAATAAATGTCTTTAACAAAATAAGTATTTCACATATTCAAAAACTGAACTATGTCAAAACACAAAACTAAAAATAGAAAACAAGATAAAATGAATAAACTTAATTGCTTACCAACTTGGTAATATAACCATCCTCATGTTAACAAGTTTTACAATGCTGTATTTTGACATATACACCTAATACAATGCATTTTAGAGACAAACAGGGCTTAAAAGAAACCTTATGTTTTTTTCAGTAGTCTTATGGCTAATAGTGATATTAGTAACAATTAAAATATTTTATATATCACAGAATAAATAAGTATGTTAATATTGTTGGGTTGTGCCTGGGTGGCTCACCTGGTTAAGCCTCTGACTCTGGATTTAGGCCCAGGTCGTGATCTCAGGGTAGTGAGATCGAGCCCTGTGTTGGGGGCTCCATGCTCAGCGGGCAGTCAGCTTTCTCTCTCTCTCTTTCCCTCTGCCCCTGCACCCATTCTCGTATGTGCTCTCTCTCTCTCTCTCTCTCAAATAAGTAAATAGGGCAGCCCCGGTGGCGCAGCGGTTTAGTGCCGCCTGCAGCCCGGGGTGTGATCCTGGAGACCCTGGATCGAGTCCCACATTGGGCTCCCTGCATGGAGCCTGCTTCTCCCTCTGCCTGTGTCTCTGCCTCTCTCTCGCTCTCTCTGAATGAATAAATAAATAAATCTTAAAAAAAATAAATAAAATCTTTAAAATAAATAAAGCTGGTGAATTTTAAAAAAATAAAATAAAATAAAATAAGTAAATAAATCTTTAAAAAAATATCGGTGGGTTTTCAACCTGGGAGAAAGAAATATAATATAAAATTGCAGCTAAAGAACAAGGTTGAATTGAAAAAAGTTTTATAATGTTTTTTTTTTCTTCTTAACAATTTATATATCCTAATTCCGTCCACTAAAATACCAAGATATAAAGACAACCAAAGAATAAGCACCACCAGTGCCTAAATACCATCTCCATGTCTCAGGCTCACTGAAGGAACAGCATGCTGGGTCAAGGTCTCGGGCCTGAGATGTACACGATGCACCTGGGACACCCGCTGAGGCTCAAAAAACCCTCAAAGACTAATGGGGAGTGCTAGTGCGGTTTCTTTTTGGACTGATGAAATGGTCCGTAGTCATAGAAGTGGTGCTGTGAATATACTAAAAACCACTCGCTTATACATGTGATTTTATATGGTATGTGAATTATACTTCAGTAAATTGTTATTAAAATGTTATTTAAATAAAATATTTTTAATAACAGTTGGATGGAATCACCATCACTACCACTGTGCAGGCCACAGGAATCATGACTGGCTGTAAGTCGTAGGAAGTATCTCTCACTTGATGGGGATAGTCCGAGAATTCATCAGCTAGTTAAGAGTTTCATTAAATGGTGCAACTCTCAGGCAGCCTGGGTGGCTCAGTGGTTTAGCGCCACCTTCAGCCCAGGGCGTGATCCTGGAGACCTGGGATCGAGTCCCCTGTCGGGCTCCCTGCATGGAGCCTGCTTCTCCCTCTGCCTGTGTCTCTGCCTCTGTCTGTGTCTCTCATGAATAAATAAAATCTTTAAAAAATAAAAGGTGCAACTCTGGATTCTGGAGGAGGGCTATGACTAATACCAACGTGTACTGAGCACACTGTCACAATGGATTTTCAATGGGCAAAACCGTGCTGGTATATAATGTAAATCTTAGAGAATTGGAAAAGTATAATAAAAAAAAAATCACTAAGACCTAAGAATGTAGCATAGTCGAAGAACATGAAAAAAAAATGCTGAAAAAAAAGCAGATCATTCGGGATCCCTGGGTGGCGCAGCGGTTTGGTGCCTGCCTTTGGCCCGGGGCGCGATCCTGGAGACCCGGGATCGAATCCCACGTCGGGCTCCCGGTGCATGGAGCCTGCTTCTCCCTCTGCCTGTGTCTCTGCCTCTCTCTCTCTCTCTGTGACTATCATAAATAAATAAAAATATTTTTTTTAAAAAAAAGCAGATCATTCAAGCAAAACTAGTATGGAAGAAATAGTCAAGAATCCAGTGTTTTTGCAAAAGTATTACAGTATCATCCAAACAGGCATGAGCCATAAAAGAGCTACATACTCTGGGAAAAGAGTTTTTCTTCCAACATACTGAAAAGCATGCTGGAAAAACTGAGATGAAAACAATATTATGTCCATGAACCTCAGCAACCTTCATCAAAATGATGGCAAGCTCTCAGAAATGGAGACAGTTCAAGAAACAGGCATGCACATAGATGGTGGGCATGCACATTATTGACAGGCTAATGTCTCAAAATTCTCGAGACTGTAATCAGGCAGTTGCACGATTACTGCTTTTATAATTTGCTTTTCTCCTGGGACGTCTGGGTGGCTCAGCAGCTGAGCGTCCACCTTCGGCCCAGGGCGTGATCCTAGTGTCCTGGGATCGAGTCCCGCATCGGGCTCCCTGTAGGGAGCCTGCTTCTCCCTCTGCCTCTGTCTCTGGGTCTCTCATGAATAAATAAAATCTTTTAAAAAATGTTTTTCTGGGGCATCTGGGTGGCTCAGTTGGTTGAGCATTGGACTCTTGGTTTTGGGTTAGGTCATGATCTCAGGATGGTGAGATTGAGCCCTGCATCAGGCTCCGGGCTCAGCGGGGACTCTGCTTGAGATTTTCCCCCCTCTCCCTCTGCCTCTCTCCCCTGCTCATGTGCTTTCTCTCTAAAATAAATAAATGTATCTTTTTAAAAAATGCTTTTTTCTCCTGGGGCACCTTGCTGGCTCAGCCACTAGAGCATGCAACTCTTCATCTTCGGGTCATGAGTTCAAGCTTTGTGTTAGGTGCAGAGATTACTTAAAAAAAAAACCTTTTCTTAAACTTTAAACATAGGAATCATCACTGAAAAATATTTAATAAAATTATTTTAAGCAGCGTGTATCTGTACTCATTAATATTGTAGGTAGGTGTTTAGCTGGTAAAGTTAATTTGTTTAAAAAAATAAGCTGAAAACTATGAGAGTTTCTAGCAAGTCCATAAAACAAATCAATTTTTGGAAAACTCACTTATTTTGAAAATGAGATCCATGAATAGGTTTCAAGAGATCTGTGAAATGGTGCAAAATTTTGTGTGTATGGGAATTAGTCTGTGGAGAATTTCCATGAAGTCAAGAACCTCTGGTATTAAAAGTTATTAGACGCAAAGTAAATAAATATACGCAAAGTAAATAAATATACTTTAATTTCAACATCTCTCTAACATTTGATGAATGTAGTTGCTAACTCTATTATTGATATGGCTTTCTCTCTACTATTTTGTTCTTTAGGAAAATCATTTTCATATAGTGAATTTTGTTGATAAAGTAGTTTGAGGTAACAGTAGGTTATGATGGTCTTGAATAAAGTTTTTTTAATCTTAAAATTATACTGATAGAGACACGTCAAAGGACACATGTCCCTGCGGCTCTATAGCCAAAGATGGGACAGTTTGATCATAAAAGGAATACTGAATGCAATTGAGTGAAACACTTTGAATATATAGATACCCACAAGTTACTGTTAAACACATTGATGAGACAATTAGGGAAATCTGAATATTGACTATGTATTTGATTACATTAGGAAATTCGCTTTTCTTGGTGTGATAATGACAATGTGGTTCTGTTAAGAAAAAGGCATCCTTATCTTTTAGAGATATGTATTGAGGTATTCATGAATAAAGTAATATACTGCCAGGGACTTATTACAAAATAATCCAAGGCTGGGGTTGGTGGGAGTGAGGATAGGGATGAAACACTACTGGGCACATAATGAGGATTCCTGAAGCTGAGATAATCGTCTGTCTACCTTTGAATGCATCAGAAAATTTCCATAAGAAGAACATGGAGACAATCTCACGAGTTCATACTCAAGCGTTGAGGTGATACTCAGAAAAAAGACAAAAATGAAAACGGAGAGTGAAAACAATTTAAAAACTACATTGGTCAACACCAAGATAATTAATGCAATCTTCCCCCTTCCTCTAGACATTTAACAATTAAAGGGGGAAAAATGAAGCATTTACCTTGCCTTTTTGGTAAGAGCTGAATTTTGGAGAACCCAACTAGCCATACTTGATGAGGGAAAGGTCTTCATTACAAAAGCATCCCAGCTAATAAATCTGATAGGAATGTTCACATTAGAGGGATGCCTGGGTGGCTCAGCGGTTGGGTGTCTGTCTTTGGCTCAGGGCATGATCCTGCAGGATCGAGTTCCCCATTGGGCTCCCCGCAGGGAGCCTGCTTCTCCCTCTGCCTATGTCTCTGCCTGTCCCTCTCCTTGTGTCTCTCATGAATAAATAAAATCTTAAAAAAAAAAAAAAACGGGAGAAGAAAGGAGATATAAAGCTGATATGACAGTATCTTGATAGGTGTTGAGTCTGATAATGGGTGTGGGGTGATTCCTTATATTATTCTACTGCATATTTTGGAAAATTTTATATGATAGAGTGATGTTATCACCATACCACAGGAAATAAGGTTGGTAGTCTGTAGCAGACATTTAGGAGGGAAATGTGAGAATCACAGAAAATCTCATTTCCATACACTAGGTTTATGCATTGATTATTTATTCAGCAATAGTTAAAATTCAGATCCAAGAAGACCAACTGGCTGGTGAGAAAGATTTTTTTTTTAAATGAAATTTCTCCAATCAATGAACTGGTGCGTCAGTAAAACAAAGACACAGAAGATAAAGGAAGGAAATAGATGGCCACTTCCTGCCTAAAACTACCTTTGCCATGGTCTTGAATCTTTGGAAATATTTAATAGAACATTCTGCTAATACTTCTTTTTTTTTGTTTTGTTTTTTTGCTAATACTTCTCATAAACTCTTGGTCATGTTGGATTCGCAAAGCCAAGGCAAGCAGGAATTCTACATCTCTGAAGTCTCAGGATGTATTTGTCTGGCCGGGGGGCGCTTGTAGGAGAGGAAAAGCAGCCCACTTAACAGCATCATGAAGGCAGCCAGACATGCCACCAGAAGGGCACTGCCAATTTCCTGAGTATCTGGCTTGAAGGGTATATAGAGAGATGGTGGGAAGGTGATACCCTCTTCGTTTATCACGGAGTAAAAATTCCAGACCACAGTGATTGAGATACAGACGCCAGCAACCACGTTCAGAATCCCTGAAACAAAAAATGGGTTGAAGGTGGCGTCCTGATGAATTCCCATGTACACATTCCTAAGTGCAAAAATGATGGCGGCTCTTCCCAAAAGGCCCAGAATGGTGGCGACCAGCAGGAGATTTTGAGAAATACGGATATCAAGAGGCAGGTAAGTATCGTGGTAGGTATAGCGATGACACAACGTGGCTCTGTTGAAGTTGGTGATATATTGGTAAATGCAGACCTTCCACATTCCCACACAGACCAGGCCAGAGGGAAAGAGAGAGTTGTTGTTCATGTACCACACTCGCCACTCCACGAGGCCCATGGACGTGGTGGTGAGGATCCATCCCACAGTGGCTATGGTGAAGCCCGCCATCTGGCGATTGGTGCTGTTGATGAGCAATAGCATGGTGGCTGCATACCCTGGAGGCCTGCAAACAAGCACAGAGCATCGTGAGGGTGGGTAAGCAGTGTGCTGGAGAATGGAGACATTTGACATTCACGCTCTGCTGGTGGGAGCACAGAGCAAGCCAACTTTGGGAAGGGCGCTCTGGCACTATTTTCATCACCACCACCTACTTTCTAACAGGCAGTTCCATGTCTAGTTATTTGTCCAAAGAAATAATTAAGACCGGTCACAAATACTTAGTCATAACGTGGTCGTCGCGGCACTGTTCATAATACTGACAAGTGGGAACCAGGTTCGAGTCCAATGCAGACCTTGGTTAAATAATTTATGCCATATCCATGCAACGGGGCTATGTGCCAACACCAAACACATAAGTGGAATTGAACAAGGTGTAGGATTTTTTTGTTTGGCTCTGTTCACTTGCATAACGTTTTCCAGTTTCCCCCATGTCGTGACATGTTTGAATAGTTGGTTTCTTTGTATTGCTGGGTCCTATTCAATTGTAGGGATAGGCCACAGTTGAAGTTTTTGGACACTGGGATTGGCTGCAAGTTTGGGTTATTATGAACAGTGCGCTCTAAACATTTCTGTGCAATATTTTGTATGGGAAGATGTTTTCATTTCTCTTGCACAGATACCTAGAGTGGGGCTAGTGGAGTGTATGGTAAGTGTACGTTGGATGTTTTAGGAAGTGCTCAACCACTTCCCCAAGTGGCCACACCATTGTACATTCCCACCAGCACTGCATGAAGGTTCCAGTTTCTCCATCTCTTCCAACAGTTGATATGCTTAGTCTTTTTGATCACATCCATTCTAATTGCCATTAAAACAGAATGGAGCCAAAAGGAAGATGCCCAGAAGCTAGCAGGTACGAATAAGAAGTTACAAAAATAGTACATATAATATAATCATGGACAGAAGTAGAACTGGAAGTCTATATGCTAAGTTAGTAAGAGACATTTTTATTTGGGTTAGAGGGATTCTGAGTTCTTAAAGCTGTTTGTATTGTGAAGAATCACACACATATATTTTAAAAAGCACACAAAATCTAAGTGTACAGCTCAATGAATTATCCCAGGGCAAATAACCACATAGACACCACTTGGTTTAAGACGCATAACATTATCACTTCTTTTCTTTATCGTTTTGTGCCTCAGCATGTACCCCCACGCATCTTGATTCAGTCCTGCCTGTTTTTCAAAACAGGGATCATGCGGTAGGCATTCCTCTGTGACTGGCTTCTTTCACTCAACACTGTGTTTATGATCTTGGGCTGTGATTTTTTTAAATGATGTCTGGGCTATTCAATACCTTTTTAGGAACTTCTGTCATGAGCATGATTTTTAAAAAGAAAAACAATAACAAAGACTTCATTAAAGTGAAGCAATGGAGGAAGAATTATGTCTGGCACACAAGTACGCTGTAGGAGGTACTACAGCCATTCATTTGCCGTAAGACATAGCAGACATAAAAATTCATAACGTGGGGGATCCCTGGGTGGCGCAGCGGTTTGGCGCCTGCCTTTGGCCCAGGGCGCGATCCTGGAGACCCTGGATCGAATCCCACGTCGGGCTCCGGGTGCATGGAGCCTGCTTCTCCCTCTGCCTGTGTCTCTGCCTCTCTCTCTCTCTCTGTGACTATCATAAATAAATAAAAAAAATTAAAAAAAATTCATAACGTGGGAAAACACCTGTGGAGGGTTGAATTTAAAACACAGATAATAAAACCACAACTTTGTAGTGTGATCTTATTTTTTGCCCATCATGAAATAAGCTGGAAAAATGCAAAACAAGATGCCTCTGACTATTGGGATCACTAGTGATTTTTTTTTTCATGTTTTACAGCAAAAGTCTATTACGTTTTCTTTTTTCTAAAGATTTTATTTATTCATGAGAGACCCACAGAGAGGGGCAGACACAGGCAGAGGGAGAAGCAGGCTCCCTGTGGGGACCCCGACACGGGACTTGATCCCAGGACCCCGGGATCATTACCTGAGCCAAAGGCAGATGCTCAACCACTGAGCCAGCCAAGCGTCCCTATTACTTTTTCAACTGGGGAAAAATGGGGCACAGTGATACAAGCATAGAAAGGACAAGGCAGGAGCAGGCATGGATAGCATTGAGGGGTCTGGAATTTATTAGGGGGCATCCCAGATGGGAGGGAGGGACAAGGTGAGGGTATTTTCCAAATTCCTACCAGAAATTCCTTCTCCTGGCCAGAACATTACTGGCAGATGTCATATTTATAAAGATTATTTCTTTTTGGCCAGGTAATGCTGAGCATATTATTTCAAAGGAGCAATTTTATTTATCTTTTTTTTTCAGATTTTATTTATTTATTCATGAGAGACCCAGAGAGAGAGGCAGAGGGAGAGGCAGGCTCCCTGCGGGGAGCCCGACGGGACTCGATCCCGGGTCTCCAGGATCAGGTCCTGGACCGAAGGCGGCGCTAAACCACTGAGCCACCGGGGCTGCCCAAGCATCTGCCTTTAGCTAAAGTCCTTGCCCCAGGGTCCTGGGATGGAGCCCCGCTTTGGGCTCCCTGCTCAATGGGGAGTCTCTCTCTCTCTCTCTGCTGCTGCTCCCACTGCTTCTCTCTCTCTCTCAAATAAAATCTTAAAAAAAAAAAATTTTTAAAAAAAGGGAAATGGTTTCATTTCAGTGAAAATTAGGGCAAACATAATACATATTTATATATGTATAAACACAATATATGCAAATATGCAGAACGTGTTTGTATATGAATAGGGAATTTCTGGGTGCAGGAAATGGTTAACAGTTGTCACCTCTGGGCAGCAGGCCTGGGGTAAGAGCCCCGGAGGTACAACTTTCCCTCCATGGTTTTAATGTTTTGCCAGAAATCTGTAATGCTCTTAAAAGTTAACTGATCAGGGATCCCTGGGTGGCGCAGCGGTTTGGCGCCTGCCTTTGGCCCAGGGCGCGATCCTGGAGACCCGGGATCGAATCCCACGTCAGGCTCCCGGTGCATGGAGCCTGCTTCTCCCTCTGCCTGTGTCTCTGCCTCTCTCTCTCTCGCTCTCTGTGTGACTATCATAAATAAATAAAAATTAAAAAAAAAAAAAAAGTTAACTGATCAGTTAATTGAGAAGAGGGAGAGAAGCAGAACAGAGGCAGGTCACAACGCCTCTGAGCGAGGTGAGTGGGGGGGGGGTGGCCTTCGAGGGTAGCAGCCCAGCCTCCCGCAGCACTTCTGAGGCCCTGGCTCTGTGCCAAGACAGCACTTCCTAAGCTTTGCAGTCTCAGGACTGAAAAGGTCTCTGCCCTTTGCGCTTAGAAACTGGAGGTGGCAGTTACTGGGTAGTGGAGTTTCAGTTTGGGAAGCTGAAAAAAGTCCTGGAGGCAAGGTACTGGAGGGAGGTGATGGTTGCCAACTTAATGCCACTGAACTGTACCCTTAAAAATGGTTAAAATGGTCAACAACGTTATGTATACTTGACTGCACTATGAAATAAAAACAAAACATTTGTTGATGACCCCAAATGGTTGCATCCACTGATATTTACCATATTAGGAATTAAAAATGAGAAATTTAATTATTATTATTTCTTGAAATTTAAATTATTAATTCATGTAATAAACATCATATATTAACAAGGATTTTTATGAAAAGTGACTATTATCCAAACAAAATTTAGAGGATACTGTTTTTGCAATCTACAAACAGCTTTAACATCAGGCTTTAATGGGAGGGGGCTGGAGTCATGTGTACTTCTGCTTTCCGGGTTTTTTTAGATCAAATGGCATAGAGCCTCTCAAAAACTCCACTGTATGCTTGTGAGAAAGGAGAATGAAAAAGGCAGCCAACATTTTCATATTGTGAAAATAGTTTTGGCCTTGTGGATGGCACCCCACATCCAGCACCTGAAAGAGTCCCCAGACCACATTTTCAGAACCACCCTGCTATTGGCTTTCTATTTATCAACTCCATTTAATCCATTCAACCACTTAATCCATGAATCCCCCCCAAACAACGCTTGTAGGTGGGCAGTAGTTTGATCTTCATTTTCTAAGCAAGAGGGCTAAGGAGGACAGAGAGGTTGAAAAACTTGCCTGAAGTCTACGCAGGAAGAAGTAAGCAGTGGAGACAGGTTGGCTGCAGATTTCATCCTCTTACCACCCTCATTTGGGGGAAGGTGGTAGCAAGTACATTTAAGTCCAAGGTAGGAGAGTCATCTAGGGAAGGGAGGGGGACCTCTTCCACTGAACGGAGAGGCGAGGACCTTGAACAGATATCCACACAGCCAGGGGCATTAATAGCTTTGTTCATGAAAGCTAAAAGGTGGACCCAGTTTTCCATCCATATGTGACTGGATCAACAATACATCGTATATATGTACAATGAAATAGTATTTGGCCTGAAGATGGAAGGAAATTCTCTCACACACTATAGTATCGATGCACCCTGAAGACTAATCTATGCTGAACGAAATAAGCCAGCCATGAAGGATAGATACCATGTGATTCTACTTACATGAAATTCTTAAATCGTCAAAATGGTGGTTGCCAGGGGCAGGGGCAAGGGAGCAGGGAGTTAGCATCCAATGGGGCGTGTTCGAGTTTGGGAAGGTGACCAAGCTCTTAAGATGGATGGTGGTGATGGTTGTGCAATGAGAATGGGCTTTATGCCCCTGAAATGTGTATTTCAAGTGATGAAAATGGTAAACTTTGTGTTGTGACTCTTTTACCACCATGAAAACAAAAAGATCTCTGGGGTTTGATTTCTTCCTTTCCCCCCGGACCCCCTGGGACTGTCCCTTCCTTCCACACTGCTCACAAGCTCACTCTGGGACTCACATGAGGCCAGAGCTTGATTGGTCTTCAGATATCCATGATGCACCTGGCCCTCCACATGCTCAAGGATATTAGAATGTCTTCTGTGGGACTGTCCAAAGACCAAAGTTTTGGCAGAACCCCCAACCCTCTCGATGACTCCAGTTGGAAATACCACCAAGACCACGACAGCATCGGCAAGCAGAAGTGGACAGAAGGCCTATTCCTCGGAAGATCTGTATGTTCATGGACAAAGAGGGCCTCCAGAAAAGTCATCTCTGCTCATCCCAATCCCTCAGAGTCCAAGTGTGCAACTCCAACTGACGATCTATACCTTGGGTGTGCACTGGGTCTGAGACTAGAAGAAATTCCCTCATAATTCATATTCCTAAACTAATATATCATTTCTAAATGCAAACACTGATAGTATAAACAGAGGCATAAAGCGAGATCGAATTGATGCTAAAAATGCCATTAGTGGGGCACCTGGGTGGCTCAGTTGGTTAAATGTCTGCCTTCAGTTCAGGTCATGACCCCAGGGGCCTGAGATCAAGCCTTGTGTTGGGCTCTCTGTTCAGCGGGTAATCTGCTTCTCCCTTTCTCTCTCTCCCTCTGCCTCTCTCCCAGCTTGTGCTGGTGCATGCACACACACACATACACACACTCTCTCTCTCTCTCTCAAAAAAAATGGATAAAATCTTTTTAAAAAATGCCATTATTGTACACACTTAATGACAGTAGAGTATGGAGTCATTTTTCAAAATAAAAGAATCTCAGCAACCCAAATGTCCATCAGCCAGGTGAATGGATGAAAGGTGGTCTATCCATACAATAGAATATTATTTGGGTCTAAAAAGAAAGTTCTGACACCTGCTGCTACATGGATGAATCTTGAGAATGTTATGCTGAAAGAATCCAGACACAGATAGACAAATATTGTATGATTCCACATATACGAGAGACCTAGAGAGATCCGTAAGAACAGAAAAGGGGATGGTGGTTGCCAGGGGATGGGGAAGAGGGTGAGGAGTCATTTAACGGGGACAGTATTTCAGTTTTGCAAGATGGAGAAGTTCTGGAGGTTGGTTGCACAATGTGAATACTGCATGCTTAACACTGTCAAATTGTACATTTTAAAATGGTAAACATAGTAAATTTTGTTATACTTTTTTTTTTTCTTTTACCTCAATTAAACCTTTTAGGAGCACCTGGGTGGCTCAGTGGTTGAGCGTCTGCCTTCAGCTCAGGTCGTGATCCCTGGGTCCTGGGATCGAGTCCCACATCGGGCCCCCCGCAGGGAGCCTGCTTCTCCCTCTGCCTGTGTCTCTGCCTCTGTCTGTGTCTCTCATGAATAAATAATCTTAAATAAAAACTTTTAAAAATAAGATTTACTTAAATACTTTGGAGTTCTTACCTCATGGACATTGAACTCTCTCCGGAGTATGTAAAAGGAATAGGATATTGCACTATTTTAAAGTTTATGGAGTAGACATGAGGCCAAGTTCTATGCTGCTCTAAGGGTAATGCAGGGGAGGTGTGGTGAGCTATAGTAGAGGTGGGGGAGAGGGGGCGGTGCATACTGCAAGGCTTTCAGGATCCTATTAATGGAATCGAATTTCATTCCCAGTCCAAGAAAGCAATCCAAAGGAGCCAACTACTGCTGCAGGCAACAGCAGAGATGAATTTCAGAGGCATTATACAAAGTGAAAGAATCCAGAGTCAGAAGGTTACATGCTCTATGATTCCATTTATAGGACAATCTGGAAAACCCCAAAAGCAAAACTGTAGGGCCAGGAGACATACAGGATATTGTGTGGTGTAGGGAAAGGATCAGCAAGAAGGAATTTGGGGGGTGATGGAGCTGTTATCTTGATCATACTGGTGGATACACTATGTACCTAGTGCATGTTTGTCTAAACTCTCAAAATTGAACACAGGAAAGACAAATATTTATTGTGTGTAAATTACACATTAAATTCTGAAAATGGAAGGGAAGAGTCAAACTATCAACAGAAGCATGGTTCATGGGATCCCTGGGTGGCGCAGCGGTTTGGCGCCTGCCTTTGGCCCAGGGCACGATCCTGGAGACCCGGGATCGAATTCCATGTCAGGCTCCCGGTGCATGGAGCCTGCTTCTCCCTCTGCCTGTGTCTCTGCCTCTCTCTCTCTCTGTGTGTGACTATCATAAATTAAAAAAAAGAAGCATGGTTCATGATAGAGCTGGAGAAAACCCAAATATCCATCTACAGTAGAACGGACAAAGGAATTATGGGTTTTTTATATGATGGAATACTATACATCTTGCACAAATGGTTATGATAGCATTTGTGGTATTTATTGTAAGTATTTATTGACATACTCCTTCCAGCTGGGCATAAATGGTGTTTCACTTATTCATAATTCACTTAGCATGATGTCAGTACCCAACAGGCACGGGAAGTTTTTTGAATGGGCCAAATGTGTCCCTGGATGCCTGCTTCAAAACTCCTCAAACCTGAATTAATCTGTAGGATGGAGACCCAGCCCAGCGCTGATGGCCTGTTGAGTAGGAAACTCCTAATGGAACTCTAGAGTCTCTGTAATCCATGGCATGAGGTCAAGAGGAACATGACCAAGGAGCATTCTTGCTCTAAAATACATGTTATATATATAAAAAATAAAAATAAAAATAAAATACATGTTATAAGGCTTCATGATCTGATGGGAAAAGCAGAGAAATTTACCTGTCTGTTTTTGGCTCCAAGGGGGATCCACTTTCAGCCACTCCACTGGAGTTCTCCACCTCCGAAACTTGGTAATCCTTTTGTCTTTGGGTAGTTGGCATCTTCTTTCCTATTGGGCCAATGCCAGCCCACTGTCAGATGAGAGCAATGAGACTTTGAAGGATGCTGTTACTATAGTCTGGGTCTCAGCAAAGTGTTCTGGCTCACTGTGTACCACTTACAAACTTATGTACTTATCCCACTTATCCCCCTTTAAAGATAAAAGGCTTTTATCTTTAAAAGCCTTCAAAGAAAATTTTGTAATAATGGGGCCACTGTGACACGGGAGCTGAGCGGCAAGTATGGCCATTGTGACACTGTGATAGCTGAGTGGCAAGTATAGCCATCTTATGGTTTGTGTACTGTTTGCTAAAAGGAAGGACCATCTAGGAGAATCATAAAAGCCATGCTGCACTCCTTAAGAGTTACTCCCGATTCCCCTGTCCCCCTGGTCCTTGGTTCTCTGTGTTTATAGATTTGCCTATTCTGGGTATCTCCTATAAACAGAGTCCTACCACATGTGGCCTTTGGCCCGGCTTCTTCCACTAAGAATGATGTTTTGGGGGTTCATCCATAGATGTGTCAGTACTTTGTCCCTTTTTGTGGCCCACTAATACTCCACTGTATACAACAGTTTACTTAGTGGGTGATGGACACTTGGGTTGTTTTCTCTTTTGGGCTATTGTGAATGATGCTGCCATAGTAATGTGTGAGTCTCTGTATAGATAGATTTTCATTTCTCTTGGGTAGGTACCTAGGAGTGTAATTGCTGGGTCACAAGGTAACTCTATGTCTAACATTTTAAGGGACCACCAAATTGTTTTCTCAAGTGGCCACACTATTTGATAACCCCAAAAGCAACGTATAAGGGCTCTGATTCCTCCACCTCCTGGTAAAACTAGTTATTGCTTGCCTATTTGGGTTTGATGACTGTGTATATGGAGTCACTATGTGTGCTCAGTGTAAAGGACCTTTAGGAAGAAGGGGTACTTTGAGGTTAATTGTAGTTTTCTGGTTATTTTCTGGCTTTGTGAAGTTTGAAACATAAATATTCTTACCAGACTCTGGCTCATCACCTGAATGGAATTTCCATCCTCTGAATTGAACAGAGCTTTGTGAACCCTGAAATGCTTTCTCCAAGATGGGAGACCTTTCAATGGAGTGTTCTAGTAGGTGTTAGCTTTCATTAACACTTGCAATGTACACCTCACACTTTGCCTGTGTTCTGATGGGTCTTTGGTTCAGATGGGAAAGTCTCCATTCCTAAGGATGGAACGATGGCATATGGCTGTCTCTTCCCAGGGTCAGAGTATTATTGTTTTTCCCTAGCCAGGAGACCAAACTTGAGGGCTACACATGTCAGGTAACTGGAGAATGAAGAGGAGAAAAGGGGAAGTAGATGGTGAGGACTCGGGTAGAGAAACAGGCTCAGGAGCGGCGGGCCTTGTGGAGTGTGAAAGATAGACTTGAACAGGGCAATGAAATACCAACAAAATCAACAGCAATAACGTAAAGAGCCCCTAGTGAGGCTGCCTCATGATGGCATTGCTGCAGTGTCACAGTGCAAAGGCCGCAGAACAAAGAGAGAACTGCTGAGGTCCTAAGTGGGATGAGGTGGCCTGAGGTGGTGCCTCTCGAGTCCATATCAGAAGAGACCAGGAATGGGCATCTGAATGTGAAAGCAAGGAACAGCCAATTCAATCATTGAGAGCGAGTGAAATAAATACTCCTGTGGCCAAGGAGTCAGAACACAATGAAGGGGCACAGAAAACACAACAAACGTTCAAAAAATGAAATGTGGCATGACCCCATGATGCAGCAATCCCAGCTCTTGGCATATACGCAACAGAGGAGCAAGCAGCCAGCTCCCCCCCCCCCCCATTCACCGAAGCATCCTTCACAACAGCCCAAGTGCCTATTCACAGATGAATGGATGCATGAAGTGTGGTCTCTACACACAGTGGAGTATTTATCGGCCTTCCTTAAAGAGGAAGGAAACTCTGACACCTGCTCTGCCCTGGATGCACCTTGAGGCATCCCAGTGAAATAAGCCAGTCCCCAAGAGACCAAGAGAGTGATCCCACTTATATGCAGCACTTAGAAGCAGTCAGGGTCAGGGACAGCAAGTATGACAGCTGTTGCCAGGGGCTGGAGGACAAGGGAACGTGGGTTAGGGTTCAGCGAAGACAAGGCTTCTGTTTGGGGAAAAGGAAAACACATGCTGGACATGGACGGTGCTGCTCGTTGGACATTATAAATGTCCACTGAACCACGTGCTTAAAGTATGGCAAAACGAGCGACTGTGTGCTCTCTTTTACCACGGTGACACACACATGACAAAGGCCATACCTTCGCTAATCAGTGATGTAGTCTTCAAGGGAATCACCCCCTGGGGGAGGAGGGCCACTGACAGCGGGGGCCCGCCGCACAGAAGCCCACGCCCCTCTTCTCAGGACACCTCCTTCCTTCTTCAAGTGCTCCTCAGCAGGCCGGACACAAGTCCTCAGCCGCAATGCCAGCCAGCTGCCCTGTCCTCAGCTTTCTGCTGTCCCCACATTCTGTTACCCATTGTCCTCACCTTCTAAGTTCTCGGTTGCTAGGTCCTGGGGGGCGCCCTGTCCGTTAGATGGCTGACTCTTGATTTCAGCTCAGGTCTTGGTCTCAGGGTCTTGAATTCGGGCCCATGTTGGGCTGCACTTAAAAAAAAATAAGATAAAACAAAAACAAAAAGGTAAAACAAACAAACCCCTTGGTTGTTAAGTCCTGAGCGCCAGGACAATATCCATTCTTTCACTGATCAGCGCGTCCCTTTGGTTTCTTTCCTTCATCATGTATCCTCTATCAGGTTTTTTTAGGGGGTGGGTCATGTTTATTCCTGGACCATCCAGAATCCACTTTGAGGATGTGACTGATCACAGAAGTCCTCACTGATTCTGTTGGCCGTCAGAAACGGTCTCTAAGCCACATCATCAGGAAGTAAGCTGTGGCAAGGTGCGCATGCACGTGTTAGCAGAAGTGGCACCCACAAGGGCGAGATTTAGTTGTGAAAGACCACAGGCAACTAACACACTAGGGAAGATACTCTTCATTCATACGAAAGGGCCTCCTTGTAGCTGAGGCTTGGATTCCCGGCTTGTTGACACATAATACACATGGATAAGACAGTACGGTACGTGCAACAACTCCTAACTTGTGAGAAATTGACCTAAGACTGGGAAGAGGGATCCCTGGGTGGTGCAGCGGTTTGGCGTCTGCCTTTGGCCCAGGGCGTGATCCTGGAGACCCGGGGTCGAATCCCACATCGGGCTCCCGGTGCATGGAGCCTGCTTCTCCCTCTGCCTATGTCTCTGCCTCTCTCTCTCTCTGTGACTATCATAAATAAATTTAAAAAAAAAAAAGACTGGGAAGACTTCAAATGTGGCTTTTGTAGACAGGAGACTACTGGAAGGTCACATGATGTCACCTAGCCAGCACTTAGGACTAGATTTTATACAGAAGCCAAAGCTCCATCAAAATTGCTTAGTATTTCCATAATAAGGAATTTATCCCAAGAAAATGAGTGGAGAGATGTACAAAGATGTAAGTGAAACACATACTCAATGACCTTTATAACCGAGGTTACAGCCGGGAAGACAAACAGAAAAAAAGTCCATTTAAAGAATATCTAAAAAAAAAAAAAAAAAAAAAAAAATCTAGTGAACCTTTCTATGCCCTTATAGTGAAATTTTACACACTCAACACTATGTCAACAAATAATTAATGTTCCCAACTTTAAAAAAAAAAAGATTTTACTTATTTGAGAGTAAGCGAGAGAGAGCATGAGTAGTGGGAGGAGTAGAGGGAGAGGGAGAAGCAGGCTCCCCAAGGAGCAGGGAGCCTGATATGGGGTTTGATCCCAGGTGAGCTGAAGGCAGACGCCCAACCTACTGAGCCACCTAAGTACCCCCCACAACGTTATTAAATAAAAAAAATTCAAAAACATAATTAGCATAATCCTGTTTCATAGAAAAAAAACGGGGGAAAGAAAAGGAGAGAGAGAGGAGGGAAGGAGATGTGTGAATATATGGCCTCAGATGGCAATAGGTCTCCGGCAGCTCTGGCAGCTCTATCTGCACAGGAAGGAAGACGACCATTCTAGGCGTGAAAGGGGATCGAGCACGCGGAGGGCCTACCCGACCTGCAGTCTCCTGAGAGTAAAGGAGAGGAAATCTCACGTTGCTCGCCGATGCACGCTGCATGGTCTGTTTCATTTACTCGTTCGCTCAAAGCTTGCGTATATATGAAGCGCTCACTTGTGCCAGGCACCGAGCAGATGAGCACAAATACACAGTTTCCCACCTTGAGCTTTGAGGGCTTAAGATTTGGCGGGCAAGGGCAGCCCGGGTGGCTCAGAGGTTTGGCACCTGCCTGTGGCCCAGGGTGTGATCCTGGAGACCCGGGATCGAGTCCCACGTCGGGCTCCCTGCATGGAGCCTGCTTCTCCCTCTGCCTCTCTCTCTGTGTCTCTCATGAATGAATGGATAAAATATTCAAAAAAAAGAAAAAAAAGATTTGGTGGGCAAGAGTCTCACAGAAACTCACACTGGATGACGTGGGACAGGCGCAGGGGTTAGGAGCACGTGCAAGCATGAGCCGCATTGGGCCGTGCGGCCTCGGGACCCTGGGTCCTGCTCGTGACGACACACGGCAGCTCCACGTGCCAGGAGCCCCTCCCGCCATGGGACTGGAGACTAGACAGTTACAGACCTACGAGCAAGGGGTCTTTGGATGAGCAGAAGGAAAACCTCGGAAACGGAGAAAACACTTTGGAACTTCTCCACTGTGAAATCGTCTCCGACCTCCGAGAGGTGGCCAGCAGCACGGACCCCTGCAGCCTCCACCCCGACCCCCGAACGGAAACAGCTTACGCGACCATGCCGCGGCGACCGGAATCCAGGACTTACCAGCCGCACCGGGCTGCGATCCAGGGCCCCGGTCCAACTTCGCCGGTCACCCGGCGCACGTCCTTTCGCTGCCCCGGGCCGCGTTCTAGGGTCGTGCGGCGCGTTCCCTTGCCAGGTGGCCTTTTTGGAATCGCTGCTCTACCTTGCATCGCCTTGGCCCTTTTAAGAAAACTGGTCGGGCTTGGTTTTGTTTTTAAAGAATTTCCCTCACTTTGGGTCTGATGTATTTTCAGCAAGCACACCTCAGAAAGCAAACTGCGTCCTTAGAGTGCGCTCCGGATGACATCGTGTCCCCTCCTGGTGCCGTCAGCTGCGTGAACACCGCTCGCTGCCGTCTTCCCAGGCTGGTTGATGCTATCCGGCAGGCCTCGCCTTTGAACTTGATAACCAGGTTTACGCTGGCGCAGCCCTGTGCTTTGGTGAAATTTGCCAAAGACACCGTCGTTGCACTCGGTTATGTCCACCCCCTTTCCTCTCCGCCTGCTGGTCTCAGGTGGTGCTGTAAGGGACGCGAGCATTTGGGGGACCTGGTGGACAGGCAGGAGGGTGCGCCTATATAGCTTGGGTTTAGGGGGATGTTTACGTAGCTCGATGATGAGTGAGCAATCTTGTGTGATCTTGACTCAAGATGCCTCACATACAAGAATACACACACCGCGTGTTGCTTTTCTTCTCTTAACGGGAGATGCAAAAAACACGCTTCCAGAATGCCTGCCTTGTAGTGCACAGGCCTGTGGCAGTACAGCAGCTAGGTCTGAAGATGGAACGAATGTCTGGTGTCCCCCTGTCCCAGTGTCTCAGGGTACCCACTGTAGAGCTCCTCTTGAAGAAGTCTGATGGGCCCATACCAAAGATCAAACTGACACCAGTGGGGCTCGCCGGCCTGGCGAGGGCTTGGGGACAAACGCCCCGCACATTGTCATCAGTGGGTCATGGAACACGCCATAAGGACCACAGCCCTAGCACTACAGTGGCCACCTATGACTGCATTTGCATCATTCCCATTTATTCATCTCTTGACTGTTTCAGAACTCAAATGAGACAAGTTGAAGTAGCCTGGTCAGAAGCCAGAAATAAAAGCAAAATGTGTGGTGTCCATCCACTTTTAAAAGTCTAACTTGGGCAGCCTGGGTGGCTCAGTGGTTTAGCATAGCCTTAATCTCAGGGCGTGATCCTGGGGTCCTGGGATCGAGTCCCGCGTCAGGCTCCCTGCATGGAGCCTGCTTCTCCCTCTGCCTGTGCCTCTCTTTCTGTCTGTGTCTCTCATGAATAAATAAAATATTTATTTATTTATTTACTTACTTAAATAAAATCTTAAAAAAAAAGTCTAACTTGTGAATATCTTCCTATTTTCAGTAAATATTCACTCTAGTTTGGAATAACTTATTAAAGAGACTTCCGCGTTGCCCCCCCCGTCTAGCCTTCAGGTCCCACAAACCTACCCTGGAACAGAAACCTTTCTCAAAAAAAGAAAAAGAAACCTTTCTCATCCTCCCAAGCAAAAGAAATCCCCATCTCCCTGGTGGCTCTGGCAGATTCGTTCAGGGAAGGCATTTCCCTCCAGGAGCAGATGGAATGAGGAAACCACAAGAGCGTACACTTATGGAGGACTTTTCTGAACCAGGCATGGCCTCGAAGCACATGAATAGCAGTGAGCTCACTTGAGCTCTGGAGCTCTTCTCCAGTTACAGAGCAAAACCTCACAGGCTCAGGGAGGCCAAGTATGTTGCTCACGGCCGTAAGGCTAGGGGGCGGCAGAGGTGCCCTTGCTCCAGGAGCGTGGCTTTAGTGTCCTTCCGGATTAGGAGACGTGGGTGTGGGAGGACAGAGCCCGTCAGTGGCCCCAATTCTTCGCACCCTGCATTCATTCACACTCTGCCACATGACTCCATGGCTTCTGCCCCCGAAGAGGTAGGACACATCCCACAACCTGAGCTCAGCTGTGGGACTTGCTCTGACAATGGAAGGGGAGCAGTGTGATGTAACCAGGTATGTGGAAGATGCCTTCGTGTCTGGGTTTGCTCTCTCACGCACCTGCCACTGACATGCCCAGGCCAGATTGCTGGTCCCGGGAGGAAGAGGAGAGGCACACGGAGCGGAGACTATCAGGATCTACAAATTCACGAGCTAAAGAAACACTCTATGGCACACTGAAGTTTTATAGTTGCTTGTTAAACAGCATAACTGTGGCAACAGCGAATGGATACACTCTGTGTCCCTGACTCTCTCCTGACTGCAAACTCATCAGCCTTGGCTCGACTGGCATAACGTTATGCGTATACAAGTAATCAGTCCCACAACTCATCAGTAGTTTCAGAATTGGGCATATGGTGAGAACAGTCTAACTATTTAAAAACAAACAAACAAAACAAAAACTAACCTAGGTAAATCAGAGACATGCTCCATTCACTCAGAGACACTATTTATTTTGTTAAAGTCAAGCAGGATGATGTGTTGAGAGGTAAGCGGTGAGTGTCAAGCATGAAATATGTACACATTTTCCACAGTGGACGGCAGGATAAAAGCCACAGGCAATGCCCCTGACTGAAACCTTGCTATATAGAGCATTCCAGAGCTGAGTTATGACAGAGGAGGGGAGTCAGCCACCACCTAAGAATGCCAAGGGCAGAACATTAGCACCAGATCGTTGTCGTATGCAATAATATAGCTATATACAAAGTTATGTACATTGACTCACTGAAATCTTTGGGTCCCCGCTAACCAGACGTTTAAGAGGCAAATGGGATGGGCACAGGACACGTATGATGACATGTGCTTTGCTGAGAGGGTAAATAGAGCACTGTATATTGCTATGTGTAAGAGAAAGTCCTCAATAGCCCTCAAAAGGCTGGATCCAGACACATAAATTCTATTATTCACATTTTACATATTGATCATCAAAATGATTCACAATACTGTATTTGAGGGGAAAGAATCACAGATAAAAGCTTTGTCTAAATTAAAAGCAAACTACACTCAAACTACTGTGGTTGTCCCCCTGAGGGAGAACGATGGAGGTCCGTGGACAGCCAGCTTCACCTTTTCTGAAGTGACCAGTTTTCACAGCAAGGGACTGCACCAGGAGGGAAGGAGGACACTTCATTGGCAGGAAGGGGAATTTTTCAAGTCAGATAGAAATAGCTTAATTTAAGAGGAATGAAAACCTGTGAAAAGGCATTTATCTTTTTGGCATGGCTGGGTTGCCAAAAAGAGTGTTTATTGCCTGCATTACTGAAGCTTGCCAGTTGGGACCCCTCCCCCGGGTGCACAGACATCCATGCTGTGGCTCAGGAGTCCAGCTCACCCTCTCTGGCTCAGGAAGTATAGACATCAGTCAGTTAAGACATTCATGTGCACGTGTGTTTTGGTAAGGCAATGGTCACTGCTGACAAAGGGACATACATCTCCCTACCTGTTGGCAGACTTTTGTGGGAATAGGGGGCAATGAGGATCTAAACGATCCTTCCATCAAACAAATGTCTGGATATCAGCTCAATACGAATTCACCCAAGGGGTTCTCCTGCCATTTACCAGGCATTGAATCAGATGAGCATCTGTGAACGAGCACACATTAGGTCTGCAACGACGTAGATAAAAAATGAGTCATAACCAAGCCACTGGTGGTTGAACATCTTCCCACATGCTTGTTTGCCATGCACATATCCTCTTTGGTGAAGTGCCAAGGTAAGTCTCTTGCCCACGTTTCTAACTGGGCTGTTTGTTCTCTTACTGTTGAGTTCTCAAAGTTCTTTATGTGCTCTGGATCTAGATCCTTTGTCACATACATGATTGGCAAGTCTTTTCTCCCAGTCTGTGACTTGTCCACTGGAAACCGACAGCACGACAGTGTTTTCCTACTGCACAGACTCTCTTTAGAATCTTGCAATTTCAACCAATAAAATGGGCAGAAAAAGATCAACTTTAGGGGTTGTCTAGTTCATAGGACCTCTGAAAAGCCAGAGGAAAGGTTCTTATAAGCAAATACATAGGACCCTTATAGCAAGGTAGCAGATTTAAGGAGGCAAAAAGAGACAAGTAGCCGATTATCGTTAACAACCATATGCAACAAAAGAATTGTTTTGGGGAAAAAGTAATTTCGGAAACACACTATTGGTCTCATGAAACGAATGTCTAGCAAGCACATAACACTACTGGACCTACGATTAACCAAGCAATTTCACTCTGCAGAAAAAAACATCCCTTGGGCCATAACGTCAGTACTAAAGCTATTTGTTCTGTGGGTGTGTTTTAAAGCATGCAGACTGTTTCTTTCAGTGGCGGTTTTAGAATGAGTGAACCCAACATGCAGGTTATTCATTTCACAGCTGGGTTTTTAACTACTCGGAAACTATTCACTTTTCCTAAATGTTAATAAATTACCATCCTATCATCATGATTTTTGCTGGTGGACAATGAATGAGGGACAACAAACACTCCACACCATTGGACGAAGAGGGATAAAACATGGCAGCCCATGCTTTGGACGAATCACAGAGTAAGATGTGCACCAGGGCTTCCCGTCTCACGCACCCCACCCAGCGGGGCCGCTTCCCGAGTGGATGGGAGGAAGGGCAGACCTAGCAGTGACTATAACCACTCGCATGCATGGCGTGAGTGGAGCCCACAGTCTAGACTGTGGAGAGTTGCCGTCCACCGGAGCCTGGTGCCACGTGTGCTAACTTGCAAAGGAGAATGGCTACCAGTGAGACATTCTGCTCAGCATTCAAAAGGAAAACTAAAAAATTAAATAAATCATTGCAAACATACATGGAAGTTATTGCTTTCCTAAGAGCCATTTTGCTACCAGAGGATTTGCCCTACAGGAGATAAATACAGGCTGAGGTTTCTACTTGCATCCTCAGGAACGGAGCTCCGAGGGCCAGTTCCTGTCTGCTGCCAGGGACGGGCCTCCTATTTGCCTCTTTCGGGCTGAAGGCTGTCGAACAAGCACTTCAGCTGCTCTTCACCCAGGTGTATCTTATCTTCCAGCTCCCGCTGCTCGATGATGAGGGCGGACTTCATCTTCACAAAATGCTCATAGTCCGCCAGGCTCTCCTCGCTGAGATAGCTGGCCAGGATGTCGAACACGATGCGCTCCCGGCGGTCCAGGTTCTCCTTCAGTTCCTTGGCATCCTCGTGCTGTTGGATGAGAACCCGTTGCTTCTCGAGCAGCGATTGCTGTGGAGAGAGAGACAAGCCCGTTGAGGACCAGGCCTAGAGCAGGGGCTGCAGCCAACGCCTTGACAATGCCAGCAGTTGTGGGGGCTGGTTCAGTGGAGGCCCTGACACCAAAGGCAGGGACCAGAGACCTGATGACATGTACGTGGGAAGACTTGGGGTGTGGGCAGACTCCAGCCCCAGCACCCCTGTAAGCACTAACGGCTTGGGACACCCTCGCTTCTTCCTAACGCTGTGATGAGAAGACTGGGCCAGGGACAGACAACTAGAGTTCGGAGAGGCTCAAGAGGTGTAAAGGACCTGGGGATCCCAGGCAGGCCAGAGGCCTGTGGCAAGACATGGGGTAAAGTAGGCAAAAGAAATAGAGTCTAAAGAACTTATAGAGCTGGGTCTCTAAACCATTGGGGCAGGAGGAAGAGCCTCTGGGCAGCCTTGCAGAAGGACGCGGGTCAGGGGGCCAGGGCAGGCAGAAGGGATACAGGGCTGGGGGCAGATACCTGGGATCCTTACAAGGGTCCTGCTAGGGGGGACACAGACGACCCCGTCCCCAAAACATGGCACTCATAGTTGCAAAATACACACTTAGCTGTCCCTACCATCCCCAAGTTTAATGAAAACTAAGAAGGAAGAGACGAATGCATTAAATGCCTTCCAATGTCAACTGGGGGAGGCCAGGGGTCATCTCGGTGTGATTTGCACTCGGGCACCAGGACAGCCACTCTGTTATTCTGCTACTTTGCAACCTGGCCACGGACACTGATCCACAGCCACACGGGAGCGGTCTAGGACGCAGCGGCGCTCTGTAAAACAGGCACACTCAGGAAGAGCACTCTCGACGCGAGGCTTCCAGGAAGCACCTGCAAACCCTATCGCCTTGTAGGGCACCCTGCCCGCTCCTGAGGGACACCTCTAGCTTCACGTCAAACACACATACAGTGAATTTTCACGGAAAGAGGGGAGGCAAAGCAAATTAATTCCAACCCAAAGGGAAGCCGATGTTAACGGATTCTAGAAGTCTGCTTCGGGCTATTGAAATCAGTTGGGCTGAGTGGGGACAGGAAGCTGCAGAGATTGTGAGGAGGATCTGATGTGTCTGCATCAACTCACGTGTTCATTTTCTATCTGGAAAGATGAAGGGAGCCTTATAAAACCTCCCTCCATGGCTTTTAACTGGTTACGATGTCTGTCTCTGAAAAGTTTAGCTTCCCTGAGATTTGGCTGCCCAAATGGATTCCCCTCCAATGCCAGCTATGCTGGAGACTGGACCACTGCACTGCATCTGGCCGTGGCCATGAAACACTGCATTCGGAGGGACCCCCAGGGACGGAGTGAGGGCTGCAGAGTCTGGTACCCAGGAGGACCATGCATGTGGTACTTAGTGTTGTGATTCCTTCTATCATCCTGAAATTCTAAATAAAGTCTCTGTTCTTCCACATACACAGAAAGAAAGATGAATCAAAGGTGAGCTGAGTTGCAAAGGCCATACTATTTTTTCACTTATTTTAATGCTTGAGAATATTCCAATTAGGTAAAAATAAATCTCTTTCCTGTTTGTGTTATTTTCCTCTTTTTTTTTTAAATTTATTTTTATTTATTTATTTATTCATGAGAGACACAAAGAGAGAGAGAGAGAGGCAGGGACACAGGCAGAGGGAGAAGCAAGCTCCCTGTAGGGAGCTTGATGCTGGACTCGATCCCAGGACCCCAGCCAGGATCATGCCCTGAGCTGAAGGTGGACGCTCAACCACTGAACCACCCGGGCGCCCCTAACTCTTTTTAGATACACCTGGTAAGGATGGGAAAAACAGCAATATGGAATCTGAAATCACCCAAGGGTCTCAGTTATTTTTTAAATGCTTATATAGTATGTTGAAATGGTAGTAACTAATGACTTAGCTAAGCGCAGAACAACAATGATCTGAAAGCCACGCTTGAGAAGATTTATGTGGACGACACCACTCTCACCTGGAATAAGGGAGAAGGATGCTTCTTCTGCCCGCCCCTTCAGAGAAGTTAAGAAGTCTTATTAATAATTAAGATGATCATTTGACAGCCTACTCAAAGAATCAAACTCAATCTTTTGCTGATATTTGACCTGGAAGAAAAGCCAACGAGGCAGGTATTACTTCCCGTATTTTGTGCGTGAAACACTGAAACTATGAGACATGTTCCAAGCTGCACACCTATAGGAAGGAGAAAAGGCTGGCAAGTCGTTTGCCTCTTTCCAGACTGCTATGTGCACTCCTGTTAAAAGCAGCAACATCACGTTGTATTATCACTGAGTGTTTACAGTTTGTCAGAGTAGGTGAGCTCCACTTACACGTAGTCAAGAAAAGTGAAAAGGACTCTTTCCTAGGAAGAGACAGTTATTAGTAACGATCCATGGGGACAGATGAAAAGATGTCACAAAGCAGCCACGGCTCCTCCCAAGGATCACAGCAGCCCACGGTCCAGTGATGACGGCGCTCCGGCCCCTGTACACCGCGGCAGCACCTGTCTCAGTTACCAGAAAGAGAGGGAGAGCCCGGGATGGGCTGCTAGAGAACTGTGTGTGGCTTCACGGCGTGACCTCATGACACCTTGTGCACAACTGCCCACAGGCCGCGCTGACGTCCAGATCAGACACGAGGTACCTACCCGATCACCAGGAGAAGTACTGTCGTCCAAATTATTGAGGGCATTCTCCACTCGGGCCAGGCGGCCGGACAGCGACAGCAGAAGGTTGACCACTTTCTCCAGGTCCCCAATGAACATGCGGAACTTGTCGAACTCGTTGGGTTTGCAGACATCTTTGGCAATGGCCTCCACCTCGTCCCCAAGGGCGCTGTTGGCTTGGATGTCTTCCAGCAGGCTCTCCCGGGCTTCCCGAAGCACTTGCAGCTTGCGACTGATGCTCTCAATGAGTTCCTGCTGTGGGGACACAGGGTGGCATGCAAACAGCCATGAGGACGGCCCCAAGCTGGCATCTGCAGCCGTGGTCACCGCTCCCATGCTCTGAGATAAGTGACCTGTGTGGAATTCAGCTGAATGGGGTAAAGGTTTACTTTGCATCAAACAACAGAGGACTTATAAGACCAGGGGAAGGATAACAGCTCCGGGTTAAGTCACTGGCATTTAGAAATATATATATATTTCTAAATTAATTAATTATACATATATTATATAATATATATTATGTAATATATAAATATAATTATATAACATATTATATTAACATAAATATATAATTAATATATTAATATATTAACAATACATTCCTATGTGATATATTAATATTCATATATTATATATTTATATTATAATTAACATATTAATACGATATATTAATATGTATTTCTAAATTAAATATATTTTTAAATTAAATACATATATTATTTATATATATTATTTATTTAGAATATATATAACACAATTGATCATTTTACCCATTTTTAAGTGCAACACTCTGTGACATTAAGTATATGTGCTTGTATGACCGTCATCATTACTAGTCTCTGGAACTTTCTCACGATCCCCAACTGAAGCTCTGGCCGTTAAATACGAACTCCCCATTCTCCTTTGCCACTCTTCCTTTAAATGATTATTTTTTTAATTTATTTAATTTAATTTATTTTTTTTAAATGATTATTTTTGAGGTGCTTGGGTGGCTCAGTGGGTTAAGCATCAGTCTTTGGCTCATATCATGATCCTGGGGACCTGGGATCAGGCCCTGTGTTGGGCTACCTGCTCAGCAGGGAGTCTGCTTCTCCCTCTCCCTGCCAGTCCCCCTGCTTGTGCTCTCCCTGTGTGTCAAATAAATAAAATCTTTTAAAAGATTATTTTTTTAAAGGGCAAAAATAAAAAATAAAACCTATAAATTGTCCACCCTCATGAAGTGAAGCAGTGCCATATGATCTGACTTGAGTGGCAAGATTAGCTGCCTCCTTTGTTATATTTGGGAAGAGTTATAGGGATGGCTCTAAAGAAGTACAATGTGTGAACCCCGCCCTGGAAAAAATTACTTTCTTATGATCACGGACATGTTTCTGCTATTAGGTCCACCCATGGCGGCCTGCAGGAAGGACACACTGAACCGCTAGCGCAGCAGTGCACACTTGGCATGAGCTGATCACACGGCAGTTTTGTCTCAGGATGAAGCATTGACAGAGAATCTCCATCCAGCATCTGTGTGTGCATACACATATATAAAAATAACCCCCCAGACCTCAAAGGCACAGGCTTTTATCAGGGCACTGCCTCTTCTTGGCTCAATGTGCCTCAGGCTTATCAGCGCCCCTAGACAGCCGGCAGATTACAATGGGAAGCGGTTTTATTTTTTCAAAAGATTTTATTTATTTATTCATGAGAGATACAGATAGAGAGGCAGAGACACAGGCAGAGGGAGAGGCAAGGAGCCCGACGTGGGACTCGACCCCGGGACCGCGGGATCAGGACCTGAGCCAAAGGCAGGCGCTCAACCACTAAGCCACCCAGGCGTCCCAATGGGAAGCCGTTTTAAAGGACAGCTGTCCTCACTGCTGATCAGTCAGCATGGTTTTTCTCTTAAGACAGAGCACATGGAATTTATAAATTGCTTTAGGCTTTTTTTTTTTTTTATAAAGATTTTATTTTGTTTGAGGTAACGAGAGAGGGAGAGACAGCTGGGGAGTGGGGTGGGGAGAAGCAGACTGCCCACTGAGCAGGGAGCCTGACATGGGGCTTGAACTCAGGGCCCTGAGATCATGATCTGAGCTGAAGGCAGATGCTTTCCCTGACTCAGTGGTTTTTTCGGGTCAGCTCCTAGCTGCTCGGGATGCGAAGACATTTTCTTCCTCAGTCACTTAAAACTGTATGCATCTACATTTCTTTGATGTTTTGTCTCCGAGCGTGGGAATCTGAGTGTGCCTGTGCTTGCCTGTGTGTCTGTGTATCCAACTTATCTGGCGAGATGGTTTAAATCAACTTTGAATGCCACAGCTAAGATGGCTCTTTTACAGATATTCATTACTTATGGAAAAGCACAAAACAGATTATAGGGATGGAGAACTTTCCAAGTTCTTGCCTGAAGCCAACCCTAAGCTGAATGAATACCTCAAGTAATTCAGAGGATTGTGGATGTATGAGGAGCCCTAGCCAGTGTTCCTGGTAATTCTTCAGCGTCATTATTCTTTAGCAATTACCATAACAACCATTTCATGCCAATGCATGAAAATGTGCCTTCAAACCTGTAGTATCAGCTGAGCTAACTTGAAACTGGGTGTTCTGGAAGGAGCCCAAATTCCTTTGATTCCTTTATATGCCTTACATAAGTTTTTATTAGAAACACCCTCCCCTTCTTCCTTAAAGGGCCATTATAAGCAGCACAGATGTGGACTTGCAAAGATCTTGGGACAAGGCCTGACCCAGGAGGCACACGCATCAATCCTTCTCAGCAGCAGCCCGGGTGCAGGAGGCCTAGCCCACCACAGAGGAACCTCAGGCAAGCTCATCTGCGCCTGTTCTGCAGCACGTGGCATTCGGGGAGGCCTGGGTTATAAGGGCGAGTGGTGGCAGAGGCCAGCCCCCGGGTCTCGCCGCAGCTGCACTGTTGCCTCTCACCTCTGTTCTGCTGGTCCCCACATACCTAACTTCTGTCCCACTCCGTGGGGGAAATGAAGTCTTTTCTCTCTGGGCCTTCTTTGCCCACCTCTTGGCTCTAGGGAGAAATCATAACCCTCCCAGATTCCATACTTTGACCAATGAGTGTGTTTGGTCTGGTTCTCCTGAAGAGTCCCACGCCTCAACCAGGGCGCCTTCTGAGCAGTGTGCCTCGGCCGCCCCAGGTATAAAAATACATTCAGCCTTCCCAGTGTGATGCTTTCAACAGACACCAGAATTCCCTCCCTGCTTCCCTGTGCGGGGCCCTTCATTCTCTTGCCTATGTCCTTAGTCTTCCCCTAGGGCATGGGGTCACTCGATTCAGCAACGTGAGCACGCAGCGATAACTGTGATCATGACAGCCCAGGTCAACGTGGAATGTCTGGTACACTTGCTGTTCTAGACCCCAAATCCCACGGTGTCTAAGAAGGTACACCTGGCCCATCAGGTACACCTTCACAGCACTCACTTCCTCTTCTGCCCCTGTGCACACTTTCGCCCAAGCACAGGGCACAGTGTATTTGTGGGTAGTGGGAAGAAGAGTAGCAGTCGCCTTTGTCAAATCAAGCCAAAAACCAGGATTCCTGAGTCACTGACACTGCACAGAACTGTGATTTATAGCATTTGCCATTTATGGTGAAATTGTTCAACAGGTGCATTTTGAACAAAATGTGTCGGTCGGCTTAAGAGCTTAATCATGGAGGGTGGGGCGGGGGCAGGCTGTCAGGCAGTAAATTCAATTCAGAGGGACTCCTCTCAATCCCGAAGCAGCCACAGGAAAGGAGGTGGTGGCCCAGCATCTCGTGCCTCCCAAAAGCAAAACAAGAAAGTGCCACATAACAGCCCGGGTGGCTCAGTGGTTTAGCGCCGCCTTCAGCCCAGGGCCTGACCCTGGAGTCCCAGGATCGAGTCCCCGTCGGGCTCCCTGCATGGAGCCTGCTTCTCCCTCTGCCTGTGTCTCTGCCTTTCTCTGTTTCTCATGAATAAATAAAATCTTAAAAAAAAAAGAAAGAAAGAAAGAAAGTGCCACATAGGGCATGCTGTGCCCCAAATTCATTACAGCAGGAGAAACAAGGGCATGTTGGGAAGAGCACAGTCACCTATATCTAGGGTGAGGATGGAATTAGAAATGTACCAAAATGTACCAATGTACATTTCTTCTACTTTTATGAGAATAAGTAAACATTTTTGATTCTTTATTAAACAAACAAACAAACAAATAAAGAAACAAAAAAATGCAACCCTAAGCCAGACACAAGGCCTCTAGAAGTCCCAGGACCAAAATGCTAATCATTTCCTTCGATTCCTTGAATCAAAAAGCTACTGTTGGGCAGCCCGGGTGGCTCAGCTGTTTAGTGCCACCTGCAGCCCAGGGCCTGACCCTGGAGACTCGGGATCGAGTCCCGCGTCAGGCTCCCTGCATAGAGCCTGCTTCTCCCTCTGCCTGTGTCTCTGCCTCTCTCATGAATAAATAAAATCTAAAAAAAAAAAAAAAAAAAAAAGGTACTGTTTCCCAAAACACTGAAAGTAATTTTCGTTTCAGCACGAGTCACGGTATTTCTTCTATTATATCTGAAATCAACCAGTGGCATTTTTAAACCACTAATGACCAGCATAATTTTTTGCAAAGATTTTTGTTAAAAAAAAAAAAGTATTTTTTAATGAAAGCTCTTTTCCAAAGTACTAAGCATATGAAAACATTCACAAAATGCTGGTTCCCTCTTTTTGTCTTCCTGGTAGCATTTAAACCGGCTCCAGGCCCTGGGAATAAACAGTATGTGGTGTCCTCCGGGACAGACCTTCTTTGGCAATTTCTTCATTCCTTTAATGCTGAGGGTTTCCTATTAAAAAAAAACAGGTGAGCAGCACCTAGCTGGCACAGATCTGGCGTGCTGACACATCATGAAGGTTTCAAGCTAACATAGTAGTGATGACACTGACACAGATAGCGGTAATTCTGTCCCTACTATGACCTCATGACTACTCACTGGTCCCCGACCTCATTCTGACTTCATCTCCAATGCTCCATTCCTCTTCCACACAGCTCCAGCCCCTGGCCCCTGCTGCTTCTTCAACACATTGTGAGGCTCCTACGTCAGGACCTTAGCACGGGCTGGTCCCTGTCCCCACAGCACCCCTAAGCACCCTCAGGGCTTACCCCTCACACAGCACCCCAGGTCACCGTTTGGTAATCAGCTCATTGGGGCCCTTTCTGTAATCACATTCCTTTGTTTCACTCCACTCCTCACTCTGTTTTCATTCTCTTACCATCCAATGTACTATGTTAAGGGCTGGCAAAGTCTTTCCATAAAGGGCCGGACAGTAAAGATTTTTGACTTTACAGGCCACACGGTCAGGTGCAAACACTCACCTCTGCTGCTGTGGTGTGAAAGCCACCAGAGAGCATACAGAAATGGATCTATGTGGCTGTATTTCAATATTTACAAAAGCAGGTGGTGGGCCACATTTGGCTCACAGTCCATAGCGTGCTGACCCTGTATTGTACGGGTGTTTTTATGTTGGCTGAACACACGCTTCCCCTCGGGTCAGGGAGGGCTCTATTCTGTTTTGTCTCCTGTTATGCCCCCAAATGCCTAAGGAGTTCTTTGAGTTAACAAATGATGCTTTTTGGTTGACAAAGCACTTTATAACCACTGTTGGGATTATGATCATCTGGTTACAGGTACTGGAACTTGATATTCAAAGAGAACATGTGACTTGGTGGAGGGCACACAATTAAGTCCCTAGATTTTATTTTTACTTATTTTTTTAAAAGATTTTATTTATTTGAGAGAGAGAGAGAGAGAGAGAAAGAGAAAGCAAGAGGATGAACATGGGGGAGGGGCAGAGGGAGAACCAGGCTCCCCGCTGAGCAGGGAGCCTGTTGCAGGACTCCCATCCCAGAACCCTGAGATCATGACCTGAGCTGAAGGCAGATGTTTCACTGACAGTCACCCAGGCGCCCCAAGTCCCTAGATTTTAAATGGGATACAAGGGAATCCCTGGGTGGCTCAGCGGTTTGGCGCCTGCCTTTGGCCCAGGGCATGATCCTGGGGTCCTGGGATCGAGTCCCGTGTCGGGCTCCAGGCATGGAGCCTGCTTCGCCCTCCTCCTGTGTGTCTCTGCCTCTCTCTCTTTCTATGTCTATCAAGAATGAATGAATGAATGAATGAATAAATAAATAAATCTTAAAAAAATTAAATGGGATACAAGGGTCATATCAAGTTGAAGTTTGAATGAGACTAGTACCCACTTAATATGACCTTGGATCTTATTTATTTAAAAAAAATTTTTTTTTTAAATTTATTTATGATAGTCACAGAGAGAGAGAGAGAGAGAGGCAGAGGGAGAAGCAGGCTCCATGCAGCGGGAGCCCGACGTGGGATTCGATCCCGGGTCTCCAGGATCGCGCCCTGGGGCAAAGGCAGGCACCAAACTGCTGCGCTACCCAGGGATCCCCTGACCTTGGATCTCATTATACAAAGATGGCAAATCAGGAAAAGGCCCAGTTTTGGAATAGTAGGCTTAACTACAAAGGACTTAACGCTATTGCCCCAAACATCATCATCCTGCACAAAGGCTAAATGCACATGCCCCTGGACATGTGGAGCAGGGCCCACGCTGGGAGCAGAGATACGAGCTCGAGCTCCCCCTGCCTACCTATGAACGTGCAGTCATTGACAGTGGGCTTTCCTACCTTCTTCACCGATAAGTCATGGTCCAAGTCGCTCCCCGAATCCTCTTCTGGCTCCTGCTGTTGCTGTAGGTCCTTCATCTTAATCAGCAACTCAGCCTTGGGGGCCGATGTACTGTAATAGGTGGAACTGGTAGCAAGGGACAAGGCCACTGGCACGCTTGGCTCCTCTTTCCTGGGGAAAAACTCAGCACTTCAATCAGCTGAGACGATAGGTACAGAGGCCCCCTTCCAACCCACAGCCTGCCCTGTGACATGCTAACAGTGGTGCTAACCAAAAGACGACAGCCAGGGGCATGAGACAGCCAAAGGGGGCAGGGGAGTAGGTGACAATGTTACAACTAGAAAATATTTGCCAAATGGACACTCCTAAAGTCTACAGAATGCAGCTTTTTAAAAAGGGGAAAAAGTCAAATAAGCAGAGATGTCTAAAAATCTCCCCGCAGGAGGGAAGAGAGCAGAGGGATGGTTTTCGCCAGAAGCCTCACATCTACAAGGACTAGATGTGCACAGTTCTGTGTAAGTGGGGCCATGGGACCCCAAGTGCAATATGCTCCTTTTTACTTGCAGCCATGTCCGCTCCCTTTGTACTTCTGTGCTGCATTTCACCGGCACTCTCACATATTGTCAGGTAAGGGTGCTGATGGACAGGACGTACACAAGCAGGACAGACATAACCACACACACACTGGTGTGGGCAGCTGTGAATGAGACAGTCTGCAAAGGACATGCCTACCAAACCAGCGGCCACGTAATCCACTCACTGCGCTCCATCACCAGGAACAGAAATCCTCCATCATCATCATCATCATCAATCTTTATTATTAACATTTGAGGCTGAGTGCTTCAAATGTGTTGACAGCCTCCCTGGTCTCCTCCCACAGGATGCCAGGACTACCTCCCAGATATGACAACTAAAAACGCATCAGAAAATCGCCAGCTGTCCCCTGGAGGGACACGATGTCCCAGCTAAGAAGCGCTGTCTTCTGAGAAAGGAGCCTGTGGGCATCACTCCGAATCACAGTGGCCTTGAGCCAAGACAGCACTGGAGCTGTGGTGTTTTCACATCTTTGCCAGGCCCCAAAGCTGGCAACCCCAGGAAGGGGCCTTAGTGGCTCCTTTGGGAGGGTCACAAAACAACCAAAATGTGCCAGAAAGCACCGGGCAGGGCTTATGGAAATCTTCCCCGCAAAAGTTATCATGAAAAGAAATCTACAGATAAGCCTCTTGCCCTTTTAAGCCTAAGAGGGCAGAAGCACGCACGGGCAAGCTGCAGAACTGAAGACACGTGTACTTACTTCTCCTCTGTGGTTTTAGGAGAGGGGATTTTGGGGAGCAGCTTCCTCCGCTGCTGGGCTTCCTCCAGGAGGTGCTCGTCTTTGGGGAAGATCCCCTCCATCAGGTCCATGGTGGTTCTGATCTTCACACTGGGGTCCAGGATATCGGCCAGGGACTTATCCTTCCCCACAATCTCCCGGGCCAGCTCTTCTGACTTGAGGTCTTCAGCTGTCCTCTCTTTGGCCTTCACGTAGCTGAGCCCCGAAGGAGAGGCCCCGCTGTCCTTGGTGGGGGGCACTGGGGTGCTGGGCGGCTGCGGCTCGGGCTCAGTGCCCTGGCGGCTGTACACGCAGAAGCGTGAGTAGGACTGCTCCGACGTGCTGAGCGTCTTGATCTGGTCTCTCTCCAGCCCGCTGGGCAGCGCGGGCAGCTCGGCGGTGCGGGCCAGGCCCTGGCGGCTCTCCTTCTCAGGCTGGCTCTCCGAGTGCACAATCTTGATGGGCACCATCTTCACCGTGGTATTGTTATCGATCACCCGCTCAATTCTGGGAAGAGAAGGAAGAGCCATCTGCTGAAAACACACAGTGAGCCCCGCACAGGGTGCTACCAGGGATGGCAATCGGCTGGTCCCTCGCCTCCCTGGACAGCTGGAGAACGTGCTGGAAGGAGCCTCTAGGATCACACGGCCCAGGACAGGGAATGGAGGTGGAAGAGGCCCTGTTTCCGGACCCAGATTCCATTTTCAAAGTCACCCCCACACCCACCTACCTAGAGAAGCCTAAGGGTGTATCCCTGGGCTCACTGAGAGGCAATGGTTTAAAACTCATTTTCTTGCTGATAATAGTGCAAATGCTAACAAGTTACATTTTCTACTTAGTTATGCTTTGTTTGGTTGGGAAGCCTGCAACACTTAAGAGGATTCTTTCACGAACTATCCTCACAGCCTTCTGTAATGCTCAAAGCAGGGCTGGCGCACACCCACGGGGGCCTGCGTGGGTCTGGGCCACGGGAAGATTTCTAGAAAGAGTGGTCGTGTTTTGAGTAGACAATGAGCTCCACCCATCCCCCGGCCCCAATCTGAAGCTTCCTCCTGTGGTGTGTGCCCTGGGTGTCACCCTCCACCTGCCTGCCTCCACTCAGCACTGCCAGCCACGCTTCACACGCCTTTTCACACCAGCCACATATGGATCTGGCGGCAAAGACAGGACACTTTGCTTTCATTAGTATTTAAGTGATTCACTAAGGACACACTTTTCCTGTAAAAAAAAAAGGGGGGTGGTGGTGGTGGTGGCAGCTCATTCAGGTCTTGGTCTCAGGGTTGTGAGATTGAGCCCCACATGGAGCCCTGCACTGGGTGTGGAGTCTGCTTAACATTCCCTCTCTCCCTCTCCCCCTCCTCAATCCTGCTCACACATACTTTGCTTCAAAAGAAAGAAAGAAAGATTAATAAAAAACATTTCCCAGTGAGAGTAGCTGGGGTGCACCCCACAGGAGAGAGAGAACACAGAACTGGTCAGTGTGATGGGGCTTCATCCAGGAACCCTGCACACTGTGGATGCCCTCAGCTATACCTCGTTGGACTGCACCCCAGGGACCTTGTGGACCAGGGCCACTGGGACAAAAATCTGTTTCAAGTATTTAAAATTTTTTTAAAGATTTCATTTAGGGATCCCTGGGTGGCACAGCGGTTTAGCGCCTGCCTTTGGCCCAGGGCGCGATCCTGGAGACCCGGGATCGAATCCCACGTCGGGCTTCCGGTGCATGGAACCTGCTTCTCCCTCTGCCTGTGTCTCTGCCTCTCTCTCTGTGTGACTATCATAAATAAATAAAAATTAAAAAAAAATAAAAAAAAATAAAGATTTCATTTATTTGACACAGATGGAGAGAATAAGTAGGCAGAGAGGCACGCAGAGGTAGGGGCAGAGGGCAGAGGGCGAAGTAGACTCCCCGCTGAACAGGGAGCCTGATGCAAGACTTGATGCCAGGACCCAGGGATTGTGACCTGAGCAGAAGGTAGACACTTCACCGATTGAGCCACGCAGGTGCCCTCCGTTTCAAGTACTTTTAAAGGACCGATTAGATAAAGAGAGCCACCTGCTGGTGCCCAGAAGTGAAGGAAAAAACAAGTGAAACCACAAAGCCAAAACTCCAAACTTGTTTCTAATTTAGTGGGCCTAACATCACTTCTACAGGAGCATCTGCCTTTGGCTCAGGGCATGATCCCGGGGTCCTGGGATCGAGTCCCACGTCGGGCTCCCTGTGTGGAGTCTGCTTCTCCCTCTGCCTGTGTCTTTGCCTCCCTCTCTGTCTCTCATGAATAAATAAGTAAAATCTTAAAAAAAAAAATCACTCTACAGTGTGATGCTAACAGACCAAATTCTGCATAGCACAAGGAACGTTCCAGTGCTCTATATTAAATGCTCCCCCCCCCCACCTCCTGCCCTTTAACTGGTGGCTGGGAACACAGTGTGTTTTTTCCCGTTTACTGCAGTGTACAGGCTAAAATAATTTCATATTGTCTTCTCTCCTCCAGTAGAAATTACTAGGTGTTTTATCTAAGTATTCACGTACAGTCCCCCCCCCCCAATGCCTTCTTTGTGAAGAAATTTTAAAAGGCCAGCTTGGTGGAAAATACCATTTAGATGTGCTAAACTTCAGAAGGAAACTTTTGGCATTTTATTTAAGCAAAGACAGAGAAACAAGAACCCTTCTTCATTCCTTTCATTCCACACTTAGAAACCTGGACCACCTATTACTTATTTCTTTTTTTTTTTAAGATTTTATTTATTGGAGAGAGAGAGAGAGAATGGGGCAGGGGTTGGAGCAGAGGGAGAAAGAGGGAGAAGCAGACTCCCCTCTAAGCAAGGAGTCCAACATGGGGCTCAATCCGAGGACCCCAGGATCATCACCTGAGTGAAAGGCAGACACTTTAGTGACTGAGCCACCCAGGCACCCTGATTTTTTTTTTTTTTTAAGTCAGCTGTACACCCAGTGTGGGGCTTGAACTCATTACCCTGAGATCAAGAATCCCATGATCTGGGACACCTGGGTGGCTCAGAGGTTGAGCGTCTGCCTTCAGCCCAGGGCACGATCCTGGAGTCCCTGGATCGAGTCCCACATCTGGCTCCCTGTGTGGAGCCTGCTTCTCTCTCTGCCTATGTCTTTACCTCTCTGTGTCTTTCATGAATTAAAAAAAAAAAAAAAAAAAAAAAGAATCCCATGATCTCCCAACTGAGCCAGCCAGGCTCTATTACTGACTTCTAAGTCTGCCCGTATTTATTTTCCCGCACTTGTGGAGAAATGATTTCCAGGGCAGGAAGACATGGAAAAAAGAACGCAACGAGAACAAGTCCTTCACACACCAACATATACTTTCCAACAAAGCATCTCTTCCTGGTCCTTTCTAAGCATAAATGCTCTCTCCTCTAGAAAAGTGTCCAGACTTCTACACCGGAAAAGTTGGATGAATGTTTACTTCAAAATCAGGGGCAAAACACAGCAGATGAGACCTTACCACAACTGGATTGTATCAATTCCTAATCCAGGGCCGCCCGGGTGGCCCAGCAGTTTAGCGCTGCCTTCAGCCCAGGGCCTGATCCTGGAGACCCGGGATCGAGTCCCACATCAGGCTCCCTGCATGGGGCCTGCTTCTCCCTCTGCCTGTGGCTCTGCCTCTCTTTCTCTGCGTGTGTGTCATAAATAAAATCTTAAAAAAAAAAAAAAAAAGTAAGCTACCTAGATTTAGGACAGGAGTTGATGCCCCCGCCCCCTTTTTGGGCATGAATGCCTGTTCTGGAATTCCTGAGTGAGGAGGGCAGCAGCATGCACCTCCTTTGCTCTGCATTCCGGCTACAGCTCTCAGCACCTGGCACGCAGGAATTGCTCAAAAGGTGAGCGAAGGCGGGAGTCTGCCCTGCACCCTGGCCCGAGCTCCAGCAGGCAGCCGGCACACGCGCACCATGATCCAGGGGTAACTGGAAGAAGGGGAGACCAGAGAAGGAGAGAAGGGGAGCAGCTCGTACTTGGGAAATTAAAGTCCGCAGAGGGCCAGGCAAGAACAGTATATTGGAGCTGAGCTCAAACGACAGGCAGGGGAGGAAGGCCAGGCCCAGGCACGCTTTCCTTACCGACTGTCGGTGGGGGGAGTGTGGACACACAGCAGGGCCGGGCCCGTGGGGCCCTGGGATTCCACGCTCTCGCACCACGGTGCAGCGGCAGGCAACACCCGGGCGAACGGGGAGTAATTCAGAGCACTACGGGCGATCTCCTGGGGAGGAACTTTTCGAAGGTGGCACAGCCACCATCTGCCTCACCGCACTTCTAGGGCAGAACAGGGAGGGCAAATTTGGCAATGGGTCCAGAATCCGACCAGAATCTAGCTGAGGACTTTTTTTTTTTTTTTTAAGATTTTTAAAAAATTTATTTAATCATGAAAGAAAGAGAGAGAGAGGAGAAGCAGGCCCCATGCAGGCAGTCCAACGTGGGACTCGATCCTAGGTCTCCAGGATCACACCCTAGGCTGAGGGCAGCACTAAACTGCTGAGCCACCTGGGCTGCCCCCCCCCCCTTTTTTTTTAAATTTATTTAATCATGAAAGAGAGAGGGAGAGAGACAGAGGAGAATGAGCACTTCTACCACCAGGGACATGGCCCAAGTGATGTGGTGGGAAAACCAGGTAATACGGGTCCCCAAAGACTCTCTGCCCTCAGTATCTCCAATAAGTATCATCGCTGCTCACTGAAATCTCTCTCGAGCTCAGCAAAGGCACACGGAGAACATCCACACTTGCTTCAGGTGAGAAGAGATGAAACCCACTCCCTAGTTCTAGAGCCATGGCTCACGAGCACGGCGGGAGCACGCAGGTGTGTTCTTGGGGGAGCCCATGCTGCTCACGCTGGCGTCCAGACCTGAGTGGCCTCTGTTGGCTTCCTGGCAAGAGCATCGCACACTTGACCTACCACAACCATGTCAGTGCTTTTCCTTCCTTTCACAACTTACAATGTTACCTCCCACCGGAGGGATGTTTAGCTGATATCCACACTGCAGCTTGAGACTCTAGAATAGGAAGGTCCAACAGAACTTTCTGGGAATGATGGAAGTGAACAGTATCTGTGCCACTAGCCACCTGTGGTACAAGTGAGCCGCAGGATTTATTTTATGTTTCACTAACTTACATTCACATGGCCACGTGTGACTGACAGCACAGGACATCCGGGACCAGAGAATTCCTTGCTGCGGGACTGACCTGGGGACTGCAGGAGGCTGAGCAGCCTCCCTGGCCTCTGCCCACTAGATGCCGGGAGCAACACTCCCTCTTCTGTGACATCTAAAACATCTCCACAAAGCCCGATGTCCCTGGAGGTGAAACTGAAACTGCCTTCCCCCAGGCTGAGAAGCACCGGTCTAGAGAGCAAGAGGAAAATTCTCCACCTCTTCCATTTCTCAGCTCTTCAAAGGCACTCAGGGAGGAGGAAAAAAGTAAACAGTCAGTGCTCTTGACTGGCCAGTCCCTGTTGGATGACACTTATCACTGTCTCAATGGGCACGATAGACAATCCCATGCTTGCACTTCTAACAGCAGCACCATGCAATATAACACATGTTTCATCTGCTCTAACTAAAGGTGTGTACCAGCTTGGCTCTTCACATAAGGTAAAGAACAGCGTGGGGGCGCCTGGGTGGCTCATCGATTGAGCATCTGCCCTCAGCTCCTGGGATCAAGCCCTGCATCAGGCTCCCTGCTCAGCAGAGTCTGCTTCTTCCTCATCCTCTGCTGCTCCCCCTGCTTATGCTCTTGCTCTAATAATTAAATAAAAATCTTTTAATAAAATAAATAAAAATGCAATAAAAAAAACAACAAAACCAGTGTGGAGGGGTGCCTGGGTGGCATAATTGGTTAAATGGCTGACTCTTGGGGTTTCAGCTCAGGTCAAGATCTCAGGGTCCTGGCACTGACCCCCGAGTTGGGCTCTATGCTCATCACGGAGTCTGCTTGAGACTCTCTCTCTTTCTCCCCCTCCCTCTGCCCCTTTCTACCCTATGCTCCCTCTCTCTCATACAAATAAAGAAAATCTTTAAAAAAAAGAAGAAGAAAGAAAAAAATAAACAGAGTGGAAATACTGGACATTATGAAAAACATCAATTTCTCCTGCAGGTCTCATGCTTAGTTTAAAATGGATTCTGGGGATCCCTGGATGGCTCAGTGGGTTAGAGCCTGCCTTAGGCCCAGGGCGTGATCCTGGAGTCCTGGGATTGAGTCCCACATTGGGCTCCCTGCATGGAGCCTGCTTCTGCTCTCTCTCTCTCTCTCTCTCTCTCTCTCTCTCTCTCTCTCTCTCTCGGTGTGTCTCTCATGAATAAATAAATAAAGTCTTTAAAAAGTAAAATAAAATAAAAAAATAAAATAAAATAAAATAAAATAAAATAAAATAAAATGGATTCTGATTACAAACAGGTGCTTGGGGAAAACATAGCCCTTGTGCACAGATGCCTGTGGGTGCTGCGTATCTAAATGCTGGCCCTGGGTGAAAGGGACAGGGGATAGTCACCACCTCCATCACATCCCCCTTGCTCCTGTGAACAGAACAGCCCTCCACCAAGTTCAAAATCCAACTGACCACTAGAACTGTGGATTCTCTCCCCACCCCGGACTTAGTCCCCAGGAGCAAGTGAAAATCCACTGTGTGGAGCTGAAGCAAGGTACCCATCGGATACCACCCAGGAAAGACACACCAAAAACCTCCCGCCGGAGCTCATGAAAGGGGAAGGGCACAGGGCCACCGTCCCAGTGTGGTACCTTGTGGAATTCTCATCCTGGATGAGCAGGGGAGGTTTGTCTGTCAGCTTCTGGGGAGCGAACTGAGGAGAAGGTGAGCGTGAGGTCTCCATGGTGGACATGTGCAGGGGCCGGAATCTGGAGGGGAGCAGGGCTTCACGCTTAGGACAGGCTGTGTGCTCATCTACATGTTGCCTGCTGTGCTCACCAGCGGCCCTCAAACTGTCTTCAGGCTGGGTGCTGCTCAGCTTCTCCACCGAGGCACAGGGGATGTGGGAGAGAGACAAGCGGTCCACACACGCCTCCAGGGCCTCTGGGGACGGTGGTGGAAGGGACTTGCTGGGGGCTCCTAGGTGAGTGGCCACAGGTGTGCCACCAGCCAGGCCCCTGAATGGCCTGGGTTCACGTTTGGGCGGTGGCGGCCTCTGTGGGGCTGGCTTCTTGGTGAGTGGTGTAGTGTTCACAGGCCTTGGGTCCTGCCCTCGAGTGTGGAGGGCTGAGGGGGCACTCTGTACTTGTGGTCCTGGGCGGAGCGTCTCCTCTGGGTATCTGTAATCTCGAGGTAGAGTCCCCGCTCGGCTGCGGGCCTCCTGGGGCACCTTTGGAGCTTCCCAGGCGGGAGATGGCTTAGGGGGCTGGGATGGCTTCTGGAAGTCCTGCTGTGCTGTTGTACTGTCTTCTGGACACTGGGCATCTGCTTGTCTAGAGGAAGAAAGTATAAAAATGAGCAAATGATTCCAAGTAACATCTTTTCTGCAAACAGGACTAGAACCAGATCTTGATAACCTTCTTAAATTAGTTTAAGGAATTAAATCGATATACGTTTTCTGACACCCGTCTCCACTGCAATTTGTAATGCAAGATACCCAATCCAAACAGCCAGTGGACAACATCAGGTTGTATGTTGGCATGTCATATCACAGGACGGGAAGTATTAAAAACACATGCACACATGTAAGATATACACACACATACATGTACATGCAAGTTGCATTCTGGGGCAAAAAAACTTACACAAAGATTTTTAAAAACAATGTTGGTGGGCAGCCCGGGTGGCTCAGCGGTTTAGCACTGCCTTCAGTCCAGGGCCTGATCCTGGAGACCCAGGATCAAGTCCCACATCGGGCTCCCTGCATGGAGCCTGCTTCTCCCTCTGCCTCTCTCTCTCTCCTCTCTGTGTATCTCTCATAAATAAATAAAATCTTTAAAAACAAAACAAAACAAAAACAATGTTGGTGAAAATTCTCATATGGCTATATTCAAAAATACTTATTTTGTGTTGCAACAGTATTTTTATGTGGCTTATGTTGGAAAATTGCCATATGCAAAGAGATAGACCCTTCTAACATGAGCTACAAATCCACTTTTTTCTTTTTTTAAAGATTTCATTTATTCATGAGAGACACAGAGACAGAGAGGCAGAGACACAGGCGGAGGGAGGAGCAGGCTCCATGCAGGCACCCTGATGTGGGACTCCAGGATCACGCCCTGTGCCGAAGGCAGACGCTCAACCGTTGAGCCGCACAGGCGTCCCTACAAATCCACTTATTGATCAAACCTTTAAAATCAGTAGCATATTATTAAAAATGAGAAAAACAAAGACTTTCAGGCACTGCCAGTGGTTCACTGATCTTTCCATACTGTTCTGTTTCTAGTTCTATGTTCACTTTTTATGCACATATGCAAGTATTTAATATGCACAGACACAGACACAGAAAGGTCCCCACAAAACACTCCCACAGGCGTGCTCATGCGTGTGGTTATCTGTGCTATAGCCAACGCTCAGGAGCTAACAAGTACCAAACTTGCAATAAAGCAGCAGGCCATGCCTTTGCCAACCCACGGTTCCACCTGACCTGACAAAGTCCTAAAATGAGCTTCTGATGGAATCTTCTGTTCAGGAAGGGGCAGTTTTGCACTGGGAGACAACTGTGCAGTTGCTAAAGGGAACTCTAAGATGGGCGGCAACCAGAGAACCAGCAGGTGGAGCACCAGCACCCATGAGAGATAAAGCTCCCCCCCCCCCCAACACTAGGGAAGGAGCCTCATTCCAGTATCCTCTTTGAGACCCAGGAGCATGCCTGTGTCCTGGGACATAGTGATGCCAGGCCTGGGTGCTACAGATGTCCCAAGCCCACCCAGGTTGCTGGCCTGCAGGTGCACTGCCCTGTGCATGTCCCTCTGATCATGTCCTCAGAAGAATGGGCCCCTCTGGGTTCAGGGGATGCTGGAGAGCAGAACCCAGACCATACCCAGTTCCCTTCCCTTTCCCCACTGTCAGCCAGCTGGGGCCCAGCCCCCCACCCTGGGCCACACAGAGCTGGACCCTGCCCCACCTAGAAGCTGGAAGCCCTCCGTATCTGGGGGAGGGCAGGGGAGTTCCAGTCCCAGCGGGACCCAGAGAGAAGGCAGCTTTGGTTTCTGCTTCTAAGATGCTGAACACACTGCCTCAGCTTAGGAAACACATGGTGGCAAAATGGCCAAGTATAAGAACTTAAAATATTAACCCCATTCCAGGAAGCTAGGCATTTAAGAAAAAAAAAATATGTATCAGGTGCACACTAAGAGAAACTAGAAGTTTTCAAAATAACCTGAACATAACAATGGATGCTTAGAGAACACAGTCAAGCAGCCATGTGGTTACTGAATGGCTATTAAACACGCTGACAACGCATTCTGAGAAGCAGAACTCAGGGCTCCGGTGTCCCACCTCCACCTCGCAGTAACAGCTTTGTCCTGCTGTGACGGAATGGCCACTGTGCCTTGTAAGACTGTAAAACCTCATTCATGACCATTCACAAGTGCCTCCCCAATACTTCAGTTCAAAGAGCTGAGCCACGCTTGAATGTTTTCTCCTCTCCTACAAAACGCTTGAAATACAGTATCCACAGATCCTCACGAGGGCACCTGGTACCACTTATTTCGAAAATATCCACCACCTCATAGAAACAGATAATTAAATTAGCTATAATTTATTGCTTAACTCTAAGTGCTTTTGGCCATCTGGATGCACATTTAATATGTTAACTAAAAAAGAGCTCTATTTGCAGAGTTTTAGGCAGGATGTGCTGAGATCTGCCCAGAAACAGAAGAGAACTCACATATGTGAAAGGAGGGCTTGGAGCAAAAGACCGGCCGCAGAGTCTGCCCAAGGGGTAGGTCCCGGCTTCTCTCAGGTAGAAGGTCCCACGGGCTCCTTCCTGTCTTCCTGATGGGGCATCTTTGCAGGACCGCAGGGCACTAAGTTCCCTCAGGGAGGTGTGCACACTGCTCAGTCTCTCCTTGTTCTAGAATGGAGTTCACTGTGCTCCACCTTGATGCCGCACTCCAGTTAGATTTACATTAGCACAGCACTTTCTGCGACACGTTTGTTTCCATCCCCTTATTTTTTCTTTCCTTTTCCCAGCCACCAAACTTACAAAGCCAAAGCCATAAAACCACTAATTGGTTTTTATTACCCCAGTGAGGAAATCAGGGTCACAAGGAGGACCACAAGTGGGAATCTGGGGTCCTGCAAGGGTCATGTTCTGATCTGTTTCTAATAGGTTCCAAGTGACGACGCAGTACCTGTGTGTATGTATGTGTGCACCGCGTATGCTGCATGTCTATGCTCTGCATGTCTTTGATGTGTATCTGCTGGTCTCTGTGTATGCATATGCCCCCATTAAAAAAAAAAACTTTTTGGCAGGACAGCCTGGGTGGCTCAGTAGTTTAGCGCTGCCTTCAGCCCGGGGCGTGATCCTGGAGATCCAGGATCAAGTCCCACGCCTGGCTCCCTGCATGGAGCCTGCTTCTCCCTCTGCCCGTGTCTCTGCTTTCCTCTAAATAAATAAAATAAATAAAATCTTTTAAAAAATAAAATAAATAAAACTTTTTCAAGTATAAAGTCAATGGTGAAATAAAGAAAATAAGATGTCTTAAGGATGTGCTAGCAACAGCATCCAAGGATTTGCTCCTAGGTATACACTGGAGCAGCTGAGTCAAGCCATACAAAGGAAAATTGAAAAGGCAGCTGCATTCCAGAGTCCCAGCAATTGATATGCAGCTTAGGCTTCTCATTGTCACGCAGAACATGCTAATCACATGTTACCAAGGAGAACAGAGCAGCTCCAGCGCAGCTCCAGGAGGAGGGAGGCCTGGCTGCAGCTCTGCGGCTCTAGGCTCTATGTAAGCAGCGGCAACACTCCCGGGAGCCCTGCAACCCCTTCTGGGGCTGGAGCCCAGCACCGTGCTGTTCGTTCCTATTGGCCTGGCTGGGGTGGGGGCAATGGGAGGTGAAAGGTCTCCAACAGGGCAGCGAAGCAAAGCAAAACAAATCTGAAGAGGAAAACCCACCCTGGTGAATGCTGCTCAGTGGCCCAAACAGCCTGTGACAGGGCAGAAAGGACCAAAGGGCCAAAAGGAAAAAGATTACACACATACACATACAGACACGGAATGCTCTGGATATCCCACCAACACTGTTCTAAGTCACATCTACATTTTTGATCTGGGTATGGAGCCGGCCAGGCCTGTGTCTAAATCGGTTTCCATATCTGAGAGGTGGCGGTTTTATTTCCAGATTCCATCTGTTCAAGAGGAGTCCTGTGGCAGCACTGGATTTCCCTCTCTGGGTAGCAATTTTCTGCTCCCGATCACACAGGCCCTGGGCTCCTGGAGGTCGCCCCCAGCACAGGCCTCGTGTCGCTCTCCAGTGACTGCGGGTTCGTGGTCTCCGCTCTCCTCACTGGGCTGTGAGCGCCTCCACAGAGGGCAGGGCACCAGGCTCTCTTCTCCGGGGCCTCAGGAGTGAAGCTTACACGTGTCACACCATCACCTGAAAGCCCAGTAAACCTCCAGGTGCATTTGTGGCTTTTGGTCCCTAGGCAGAATGGTAAGGAGCAAAGCTGCAGGCTGTTAGGTTCTCAGTGAAATAACTTTGCACGTGAACGTTCCCAACACAACTAAACATTTTTAGACTACTCTGTAATCAGTAATTCACTGCTGCTTTGCAAACAGGGTTAACGATCATCTTCACCGAGGAAAAGAAAAACATGTCCATCTCGTGGATGACCTAAGTAACACGTATACAGGGTCCTTCTTTCCAAAGTACATCAGGCAACAAACAGTGTGCCAAAAAGCTTCATTTCCTCACCTGTTAAGGTGAATCACAGGCCACACCACGCGAGGGGTGGGGGTGGGGGTTGTCGCCATGTGAGGCAGAGGCAGATGGAAGCCCCCAGGATGGTAGCTCCGTGCGCTGGTCCCTACCAGTCAGATGCTGCACTGGGCACCCAAGAGGAAAGGGCCAGCTGTGGTGGAGCAGATCTGAGCGCAGGTCCCTAGGACACCAACACCACCCAAACTCCCTTCCCATCACACTACACACACCACTGTGCCGCACAGCTGGTGCAGGGCTGCCCTGACCTCCATGTAGGGAAGGGCATCACCGTGGCAGGCTGCTGCAGGGCACTGTGCTACAACCGTACCACCAGAATTCTGCGCCGTGGAACTGACTCAACAACAGAGAGATGAAGAGCAAGCTTCCAGTGGAGGGTGATACTCAGGTGTTTCCTCCTGTCATTTCAATATTATGGCTCCTGGGTGGCTTAAGCGTCTACTTTGGCTCTGGTCATAACCCCGGGGTCCTGGGATCGAGCCCCATACCGGGCTCTCTGGTGAGCTGGGAGCCTGCTTCTCTCTCTCCCTCTGCCTGCCACTCC